GATACTGCGCGGGTCGATAAGTGAATTCAAATTCGAACTCGATCCTTCTATATGAATCAATAGGAGTCGACAGGGTTCGAACCAACAAACAAGTATACGGTCACGACGACTGGTATATTTGTTTTATTGCATTCTAATTAGGTTGTCAAGGCCTATAATCAAGAGAATTCACTAACAAAAGGCACAAAGCCTACGAAGCCCGATCCTCCTAAGCAAGTAAATAGGAGTGGATAGGGTTCAAACCATCGGATAAATATACGATCATAAAGTCGATAAGAATATTTATTTTATACTTTCGTATTAGGCCGTCAAGGCCCTTAATAAAGAAGATTCATAAACAAGGGCATAAAGCCTACGAAACCCGATCCTCTATCGACAACTCGATAGAGTCGACAATGTTCAAAACATAAATATTCTCAAATGCCCCCAAACACCCCGATGATGGCCCTATTGAATGTAAATCTCAACTGGAGGGTTCCATTCCAAATATTATCAAACGCTATCCCAAATTCCACAAAATTCTAAAAAAAATCTCAAAATCCCAAAATCCAAAAAAAAATTAAAATTGAAATCCAGCTATCAAACACTTAAAGAAAAAATCCATCCACCCTCCGCAATAGTTTGCCGGGGTGGACAAATTAAAAATTTACTTCAGCTCACATAGAGTTAATGCCTAGTCGAAAATATTACTAGGATTCATTCTCAAACAATCTCCTTCCATTAAGAAAGTGGTACATGTCCTCTAACCGGCGGTTTTATCGCCAAATGGCACTACAGGATAAACGGTTATGACCCGGGGCCCTCTGAACTGAGTGGTTTTGCCGCCAAATGGCACCACGAAATATAGGTTATGGCCAGAGCCAATACGCTCCTTAATGGCATCAAATCCTTGAGATATGAATCAATAGGATATGATCGAAAGCCCTCTGTTAGCTAAGGTGGATTCAAATTTGTCCCCTTAGACAAACATTCACCTCAGGTCTACAAGGTCACCTTGGACGAAGCAACCCATGGCTGCCGACAAGCATTCTTCTATCAGGTTGGATCGACTACCTCCTCTGACTAAGTAGACCAGGGACCATGATGGCCAGGGAGGACGGAATCATGGGATCTTGATCGGGTCTATCATCCATTCCTTCATCATCAGCTTTAAGTGCAAGATGGTGAAATTTTTAAGTTTAAATATCAAATCTCAAATTTTCCAAACATCCAAACTTGTCAAATTTTCCAAACATCGAAACTTGTCAAATTTTCCAAATTTCCAAATCCATATCCATGCTGCTACTATATGTCGGATAACACGTATATTCTACGTATCTGATCGACGACTAGCCTTAATCGAAAGTTCTCTCTCGTTATCGGAAGGGGTAATTAACTATAGGGGCTTGTGCCTATAGGAAACCAGAACTCAGATCATAAAGTCCTCACAAAATGAGGGCGAAATCTCTGGGTAGTTTCTTATCTACAAACCCATCTGCCTTCCAAAATTTAGCCCGGAACTTAATCCGTTAAAACTCCCTCGCCAAAGAAAAAGCACAAACGATCAGTGTGAGCGGAGGCCGGGGCTGAATTTTTGGAGCCCACACTTTACCTGCATTCCCAACTAGTTGCAGGGCCCTCACCCACATCCGTAAACATTATGCTACTATGCTTCATATGTTAACTTTTCCTCATAAACATAAAGATCATCATAAGCCTTGATTGTGCCTCTGTTACACTGGTCCAGCCGGTCCATAAGGGACTAGCCCAGGAGGAAGTGTCTGTCTCTCAAGTATGTTGATCACACCACAAGCGCCAACAGAGCAGTTTTGGAAAGATTTTTGAAGGGAGTTTAGAAGAGAATTTGAATTTAGGGGTTGTTTAGGAATTTTCTTTTGATTTGTATGCATTAAATAGTTTGTTTTCCCAGGGTTAGGGCATCTTGGATTTGAGCTAAATTTGGGATCTCTTAGGTTTAGGTTTCTTTTGGGCTCTAGCGGCATCTAGAGATTTGGGAGAGATCGATCCTCCTCTCGAATTGAGGATCAATTGTATCTTGCTATTTTTCGTTTCTATTTCATTAAATAATACAAATTTTCTACTATTTTCTAGGTTTTGTGTAGATTCTTGTGGAGGATTTTCGTTGTTTTTCTAAAGATTCATAGGAATTACTTGAGATCTTTAAGTGTTTCCTATCAAATTGGTATCAGAGCTAATTTTTGGGACCTTTCGTGGGATGTTTCGGTGAATTTCAGTTGCTGATCTTGGGATTTCAAAGAAGAAAACTACTATTTTTGAAGGTCGAAGTCCAAATTTTTATTTCTACAAAAATTCGGGCATCAATTGCGGCCAAGAAAATGGATGCGTTGGAGGAAAGCCTTGAAGTAGAGATTGGACAAATGAAATCTGAAATTTCATATCTCCAAACTCATGTTTTAAAATTAAAAAAAGATGTTTCAACCATCCATGATAAGTTTGATTCGAAATTTTCAATCTTGGAGGAGATGTTGAAGAAAGTGCCTGAGCGTCAAACCAAAATATCACCATCGGAGGGGAAAGAAGGCACCGACAACCAGGGGGATGAGAAAAACCTTAGGCCAATCAGACAAAGGGGAGATCAAGAGGTGGTGACTCGAAAGGGAGAAGAGAGAATACCTCTATTAAAGCCTGTTCCTAGGGAGGAATCGGGCAGAGGGTATGAAGAGAGGCGTGAGGAGGTAGGGCAAGAATGAAGATATGCTAATTTGGAGAGGACAGGGGCGAGATTCGAAAGGGAAATTGGTAATTATGATCAAAGAGGGGCTGAATTTGAAAGGGGAAGGGTTTGTTATGATCCAAGGGGTGTTGAATTTGAGCGGAGAAGGTGGGAATTTGATGAAAGGTTGGGGTATGAATGTAGAAGGGATGATTGGGATACTTAAGGGTGAACCACCCCCTTGGAGAATGGGAAATTATAGAGGGAACAGACGAAACGGAGGCGAACCGAGGGTGACGAAATTGAAGATGACAATATTTCACTGTCAATGGATTGACGGAGGAGGAGAGACTAACGGCAGCAGGCCTATGTTTGGAAGGGAAAGCTCTGGCTTCGTACCAATTGAGGGACATGTGATGACCCATACGGAGTTGGAGAGAGTTCAAGGATTGTTTGATAGAACGTTTCCGAACCGGCAGGGGAGGAGACTTCTAAAGTAGTTTTTCTCCTTGGCGCATGATGGTTCAGTGATAGAGTACCGGGAGAGGTTCGAGTACCTTACTAGCCGATTGGACCGTCTTTCTGAGACAGTGTTAGAGGGGAACTTCATGAGGGATTGACAATAGAGATCTAGGCAATGTTTAGAATAATGAGGCCTCGTGACTTGTGAGAGGCTATGAAGCTAGCTTAATTCGTAGATGATCAGAGGCACCTGGATAGAGAGACAGGAGACAACAGCTCATGAGGCCCATACAGGATGACCACCACCATATTGAAATCCAAGGAGCCAACACTGGATACTCTTCAGGGGACTTTAAAGAAAAAGACTGCAGAAGGAAAACCTAGGGACAACTTCAAGAAGCTCACAGAGATAGAAATATAGGAGAAAAGGGCGAAGAGGCTCTGTTTCAAATGTGATGAGAGGTATACGCCGGGGCACAGGTGTAAAGACCAAATTCTTCAGGTTCTTACCGTTTGTGATGAAGAAGGAATGGAGGAGGGTGTCGTCTTTCCACCTTGCGGACAAGGTGGATCTTTGGGACGAGTATTGTTAGACCAGTTCATTGGAACGATCCAGCCGGTCCATACGGGACCGGCCCAAGAGGAATCGAGGCGGAAGCGTCCACCTCTCTTGTACACCGATCGCACCGCAAGTGCCAATAGAGCAGTTTTGGAAGGGTTTTTTCAAGGAGTTTAGGACGGAATTTGAATGTAGGAGCTGTTTAGGGATTTCCGTTTGATTTGTATGCATTAAATAGTTTGTTTCCTAGGGTTATGGCATCTTGAATTTGGGCTGAATTTGGGATCTCTTAAGTTTAGGTTTCTTTTGGGCTCTAGCGGCATATAGAGATTTGGGAAAAATCGATCCTCCTCTCGAATTGAGGATCAACATTATCTTGCTATTTTCCATTTCTATTTCATCAAATAATACAAATTTTCTACTGTTTTCTTGGTTTTGTGTGGATTTTTGTGGAGGATTTCACTGTTTTTCTAAAGATTGATAGGAATTACTTGAGATTTTCAAGTGTCTCGTATCGGTCTCCTAAAGATACAACCCACTAATCATGTAACCATCTTACGAATTTTATCACACCTCACACCCACACATGCTTTCGCTCGTGCCTACTCACTCATGTGTTGAAACCAACTCGTTTGTATGTTTGCGCATTTGATTGTAGTACTTATCCAAAACTCAATTCTCTCGTTTAGCAAACCATCCACATCTATAAATCAAGAGCTATCATCAAATTTGTATCAATAAAATCAATATTTATATAAATTTTATATAATTGATTTCTTAAATCCTAATCTTAAGATTTTTAAGGTTCCTTGTTCGTTAGTATGACAATGTAAAGGCAAGAAAATTGAAATGTTTAAGATCCGTAGCATATGTCCAAGAGATACACAACAAACAAAAAAGCTCATCTGTGGAGTTGTTGAGGTTTATATAAATGATCATCCTAAATCTCATAAAATTTCGTACTGTGCCACATATTCCAACTAATGCCTACCAAAATACTGTCGGTTGAAGTTAGATCTTACCTAAATATGCAATATAAAAGGCCTATTTCATTGGGAGATGTTAATGTAAATTCATAAAATAGTTTCTGAAAAGGCTTCCCTAACAACAAAGCTTATAAAAAAAGGCAACGAAAATTGATAACACATCATGAATTTTATATAATACTAAAAAGTAGATGGCTTCCACTCCCTCCTTAAATGCAGTTAAGAAAATTATTCTAATTCAAGGGATTAAGACTTCCTAATTACAAGTATTACTAAAATTCTTTCTTGTAAGGCATCAATATGAAAGGATGAATCTCACCTCATTTGTTTCCGAGCCAGTAGCAATATATCCATTAGAAGAGGATAAACCAACAAAATTCTGAAAAAAGGTAAACAATACATCGTTAGAGAAGTTCAGCATCGTTGTAGAAAAGTTCGAAAAAATAGAAGACATTGTAAGCTCTATCAAGAGAATAACATCTACGGGACAACCTGAAGTCTAGCGTAGACATCTTGATGATAGTATTAAAGTTGGGGCTAGTAACAAATGATAGTGTTAAAGTTTCTAATTTTTTTTGGAGGTATAGGAGCTTCAAGAGAAGGATGAATGAGTATGAAAGAGGAGGAAGAAAAAGAAAGAAATTTTCTCATGAAAAAAACATTGCCCAAAATAAACAAGCACAGGTAAAGGAATCACAACATCAATATCCTTCGTAGCACTGAATGGCACAAAAGGTAACTCGTCTTAAGAGCAAAAGTCTTGAATAAACTCAACACAACTAAAAATCCTAGGAATAAGAAAGAATACAATTTAGTAGAGATAAGGAGCTAGGATGGGTGAAAGATTAATGCGGAGAGTAAAAGGGGTACAATTGATAATATAACAGGCTATCAAGGTTGCATTCCCCAAAACTGAGAAGATTCATATGAAACATTAATGTCTTGAAAATATAAAGCAGATGACGGTTTTGGTGTTCAACAACAATATTTTATTGAGATGCCAAAAGAAGTTTGATGAATAATATCATTGTCAAATAAAAAAAATATGAAAGTGAAATTGCATAAATTCCAAACATTATCAACGCAAAAAGTTATGATTAAAGTAAAAAAAAATAATTTTTCTTTCTTGATAAAAAGTATAATATATTGAGAACTTCTGATTGATTTTTCAGCAAGTAGACTCAAGTTAACCTTAAATAATATCAATGAAACTGACAAAATAAAAGAATCCTCTGTGAGCAAGGATAACATTAGAACCACACATCTCTGAGCATATTAACACAAAAAGAAGATTATGGTGACTATTGGTAGAAGGAAAAAACATATTATAGTATTTTCCCAACTACCATGTTGGTCAATCAAACTTGAAGAGAAATGAGCAACTACGAACAAAATCCCAAAGTTTAATGAGAAATACCTAATCGACCATGCCATTGATACAAAGTAATGGTGGTAGAGGAGATGAAAGAGCACTAGTCATCAAGTTGTAAACTCTGTCTACTTCAAAATCTCGATCAATCATCTTACTTAAGTTAAGATTATGAAAAATCTTAATGAGAGGGCAAGAAAGTCAAAGCGCAATTATGATTTTTAGTAAGATAATGAACAGAAAATTGCTTTACAAGAAACTATAGGACATGAAATATCTAAAAAAGAGATTTAGAAAGATGAATAAAATGCCCTTTTCAAAAAATAAGAGAGGGAAAACTATCAGTAAAAACAACAAGAGGTGTGGACAACATGTAAAGAAAAACATAGTTGGCGGTTACCAGTTGCATGGAAAAAAGCATTTAATATAAAACCCAGAATGTAACAACAGAGAAAATTGCAATGAATTCTAAGGAAAAGATGACATGAACGGCTGAGAGAGACTTTTTGAGATTTTTAAAGAAATCAATCATAATCTAACTAAGAGATAATGATAATTTCATATGAGGATGCATGAGAGTAGGCAAGGTTGGACCAATTGTGGAAGTATGCTATCCAACAATATTCGAAAGGGTGATTGGTTCAACTGTAATGAGGGCATGGAGGAAAAGTAGTATGTCTACGATCACAATTGTCACCATATCCATAAATCCCCTGACCACCCTTAGAGCCAGCAGCCAAGGCTAACTAGTCAGGAGTCGTAGGTTGAGGTGTGAGAGCTCAACGACATGAAGAAACTATAAAAAGAGTGGCTATAAAGTTAAAAATTGTGGAGTCCATCATTAGTTGAAATAGCGCACCCGATAAAGGAGGATGCATGCTAGAGATAAATTTGGCAACAAAAAAAAATTATTTAGCTTTATCATACAATTGGGTCAATAGTTCCGGCACAATACTGAAGTAATTCATCTCATTTTCCTTTTCATGTGTTATGGTACTAATGGATTTGAAATGTTATTTGTTGAAGAGAATAAATCTTAGAATACATATTTTATACATGAAAAAATATTATTTTCCTAAATGAAGATGGAGTGAAGAAAGCCCCACATCATATTGACACAATCTTGAAACATGACAATTGACAATGGAGGAAATGCAAGGTTCAAGAATGTTGAGTAATCAAGTAAGAACAGCACAATCAAACGCTTGCCATCTTGCAAACTAAATGGTGTCACAACAATCTGGAGGGGAACCATAAAGGTGATGGAGCTTGCCATGAGAAGTAATAAGAAAAAAAAAAGTCCGCGAATATAGGAGATAATTTTTGTCATTGAACATTACTATTGTAACAATGTTGGAAGACGCTATTGAGTCAATAACAGGTGGTTGAGAGACTGTCTTCTTCTGAGAGAGATTTGGAGAATTTAACAGTTAACACATTAAGAATGAAGAATGTGAGATGTATGAAGCAGTTGTGCCATAGAGTGCCCAGCAAGCAACAATGTGCTTAGGTGTGGTGGCAATGGGCAAGCAATAACAAAAGGCAATGGCAGTTGTAAATAAGAGAGGCAGTAGATAGCAACAACACATGGAGTAGAAAATTTAGCGGGCATTGCACTCATGCCGTGTCAGTCAAGCAAACGTACAAACGAACATGAGGGAATGGGCATTGATCAAGCAAGAACATGCCTTAGCATTAGGTTGAGCATTGTACAAGTAAGGAGTAGATGTGAAACTAGCATAGTTGAAGGGGTGAATGGGGTAGGGTGTGTAGGGTTAGAACTAACCCCTTTCTAATACCATGTTAAAAAGGTAAATTATTTTTGTCGTGTCTTAATCACTAGAGCATTGGGTACAGATCAAGTAAGCATGTGCCTAAGTTTGGGCACTGAAAATTCAGCCCCAGGCTCCCCGTTGCTTTTTCGGGGGAGTTTTAACGAATTAAGTTTTGGGGTAAATTTTGGAAGGTAGATTGAGTTTATAGATAAGACATTACCCAGAGATTTCGCCCACATTTTACGAGGACTTTATGATCTGAACTCTGATTTCCTATAGGCGCAAGTCCCTATAGTTAATTACGCTTCCCAGTAATGAGAGAGAACTTTCGATTAAGGCTAGTCGTCAATCAGATACATAGGGAATACGTGTTATCTAACATATAGTAGCAGCATGGGTTTCGGGTGTTTAAAGATTTGGTATTTAAAATTGAAAATTTCACCATCTTATAGTTAAAGCGGATAGTGGGGGAATGGATGATGGACCCGTTCAAGATCCCATTGTTCTATCGTCCTGGGTCATCATGGTCCCTGATCTACTTAGTCAGAGGAGGTAGTCGACCTAACTTGACTGAAGTATCCTTGTCGGAAGCCATGGGTTGCTTCATCTAAGGGCACATTGTAGACTTGGGGTGGAAGTTTGTCTAAGGCGACAAATTTGAGTTCACCTAAACTGATAAAGGGATTTGTGCCCTATCGATTATATCCTATTGATTCATATCTCATGTATTTAGTGACGTTGGGGAGCATACGGGCTCTAGCCATGACAGTAATTTAGTGGTGTCATTTGGCGGTGAATCACCTGGTTCAAAGGGCCCCAGTCATAAGTGTTTACCTACAGTGCCATTTGGAGGCAAAACTATCGATTAGAGGACGTGTGTCACGTCCTTATTAGCAGGAGATGATTTAAGAATGAATCCTAGTGATATTCTCCATAAGAGATTAGCTGTTTGTGAGCTGGAGTAATTTTTAAATTTGTCCACCTCGATAAAATTTTGTGGAGGGTGGATGGATTTTGCTTTAAGTGTTTGATGGGGTTTATTTCAACTTTAAATACTTAGAGTTTGGGATTTTTGAGAATTTGGATTTTGTGAGTATTTGGGAAGCATTTCGAATGTTTGGAATTAACCCCTCCGACTAAGATCTACGTTCAACACAGCCATCCTCGAGGTATATGGGTTCATTTGGGAGTATCATTGCTTGGACCTTATCGACTCTATCTATTGGTTGACAGAGAATCGGGTTTATTATAGGTTGTTCATTTGTTGGTGAATTTTCTTTATTGGGGGCCTTAAAGCCCTAATATGAATGTATAAATTAAATATCTCGATCGACCTCATGACTATATATTTATTTGATAGTTTGAATCGTGTCAACTTCTACTGACCTATGTAGAAAGATCGGATTCAATCTTAACTTCATTCACTGACTCGCACAGCATCCCTATACGTCACATGTGTACCCATAACACATTTGTCGGGGCCCATGCGGGTGTGTAATTGCATATGCACTTCTTTATGTTTATGTGTATACATTTGTAGCGCATGCGTGGGGGCATTTTTGAAATATTTTGGCATTACTAAGTTGTGTGGATAGCTGTCAGTTGAATACAACATTCTATTTGGAAGCTCATACACATCTTTTGTCCGCTTGTATGCATGTTGCGGATCCGGTGGCATGGTGTTATGTTTCATGTAGAGTTTCATCCGCTACTTATCATAGGTTGACTGTCATGCACTACTTGTTTCCTTCTAGAAGTAAATTGTTTCACACTAACGAATCTCCTGCTATAGCTTGTAGATAAAGGCATTCACCACGGATATGATGTATTTGTTCGTGGCTGAGTTGCTTTACATATAAATCATCTAGTGCTGGCCATAGGCATTTGTATTTGCTATAATTATGTGAAATTTTACTTGTGGTCAACACATTGGAGGTATAATGTATCTTTGAAAATTAGTATTTGCTATGTATCCTATGCTTTTGCCGGTAGAGGACTGGTGTGTTTGTCTGCAGATGAACGATATTAATTGCATGGGAGCTATATTCTCTTTGAACTATTCAAAGATGACATGTCCTTCAGTTCATCGCATGTTGAATCCCCCCTGCTTGTAGAAGATAGGTACATCTACTTGCCAACGCCTTACTACAGGCTGTATAAGTATCTTTAGTACTTTTTGCAGGCTCCTTGTAGTCCTTTTGTAGATGACATGTGTATACAACGGGTTGGGTCTTCTACCACTGTTCATAGGTATCTGCATTTAGCACTACTCTTCTATATTCATGTATGGCGAGTTTCTCACAGCAGCTCGTAGGCACTTGAATTCGCTATAGTCATTTGGATTGACCGTAGACGATATTTATTATGAATAAAGGGTCTCCTACAAGGGCCTGTGCACACTTTCATTTGTTGCGTATTATCCACCTTCGCTCGTGATATATCAATGTATCTACTTAACATTGAACAGTGGCTAACCGTATAGATGCTTAAGCATTTATTGACTCTTGTTAATCGTCACTCGTGTGGATTTTATTTTGCACATGACAAATCCCCCACCACTGCTAGTAAGCACTCATATTCATCATGTGCTGCACTGAGTATGTTTGAACCTCTTTCGTTTACTTGAAGGTGAGGCATTGTGTTTGTGATGGGTCTTCTACAACAGTTTATTGGTATCTGCATTCGTTGCATATCAAACATCCTTTACTTGTGGAGAAAATCAGTGTATTCACCTGATGTTGAATGGTTATTGGCTACAAGGGCGTCGTAGCGTTCACTGCCAGTTGCTGCTCATCACCATCGGGTATTGTAGGTAGATTAATGAACTTATTTTAGGTAATTGGCATTGACTGGGAACAATTCATGTTCATTATAATCCTCCCTAGCATATTTTATTGGCGAATCACTGTCTTCTTTGTATGTCAACGGTCACGTCCACTAAAAACGCTCTTTGTAATGCTTTCAACCTTCTATATATAGACTCATTGGTTAACTGATATGACACTGCAGGTTCCACATTGGCTATGTACAGGTCAAAGGTCCTGCAGCGCTACATGCCATCAAGCTATGTATTCATCTTGCTTGTTCCTGGTGAGTGAGAGGTAGAGAACTTATTCATCATCAATCATTGCTTGTAGTTATTCATAATCCACAGATGATTGTTGTTTGTTGACATTTGCATTTCAATTGGCATGAGAGCCCTTCAACATTTATTCAAAAGCGTCATATTTTTTATTGTAAGTACGTTGATTGGAATGCCACTTGTCATTACTCATGGAAGTATTATGGCTTGGCAAGCATTAATCATGACTCCTTTACTTTTGTTTGTGAGTGAAGCATTGTATATGTCATGAATCTTCTACCATCACATGTGTTTCTATTCATTACAACTCCTCTAACGTTGTTTGTAAATACACTACATTCCTTACATTGTTGCTTATGGGTGATGCATAAAAACTTTAGTCATCATAAGTCATTATTTGGAATTACCAGTTGATGTTCATTTGAGTCCTTCGACTTGCTTGCATGACACTTATTTAAATGCTTCAAATTAGTAATTAGCATTTCACATTTTCAATTTAATCAAGAATTCGTAAAATTAAAGTCTAGTCCTTTATTGTGCGAATTTCAGTTCAAGTCCTGATACAATCCTCTATTCATGATTTAAGTTCAGTTCAAGTTCACAAGTCCCTGTAGTTTAAATTGTAAGCTCAAGTCTCCTGCACTTAATTCAAATCAGGTCCTCGATTCACCAAAAATTTCGGTAGCCTCCCAACGTCTCCCCCGTTTAGGGGGGAACTACAGGAAACTAGGTCATCCCACCACGCCACAAGAGCGTGTATGGTTGGTGTCGGTTGACACAGCTGCCGTACATCTTCGGATAGAACTGGATTGGCGTGAGGTTCGGAGAGGAAGAGGGCTCAATGGGTCGGAGTTGGCGCTCGACTGGCTTGGAAGCTCTGCGCAGGATGCGATAGATCGGGAATGGGATGTGGCTTGCGCCTAGATAAACGAGAGATGGAAAGGAGGAAGGGTATCGGATAGGGCTGGATTGGCGTCGATCTGGGGTTGGCTGAGGGTTTGAATAGGAAGCGATGACGGGTAGATGGGAAGAGGCGGAAAAAGGAGGTGCGACTTGGGGAGCTAGGTTCAACAGGAGATAGGGCTTCAGCTTGAGGAAGGAGAGTGGAGGTCGGAGTGGTCGGAATAGAGACGGAAGACGAAGAGCTACAGTCGACAGGAGATAGGGAAGAGGTCGGGTGGAGTTCGGTGGTCATGGCTACCGCGACTGGCTAAGTCGGATAGGTAAAGGGAAAGTGACGGCAAAGTGGTCAGGGATTACAGGAGCTAGAAGGCGGCGAGGTCTCATCAAAGAGGAAGATCGAATAGATG